GTTAGTACCTAGAGAACTGGGATTTGATCCTTGGTCTATTTGACTTAGAATTACTTTCTGAGTAGACTTTTTAGAACATTGGTAAACTCCATTTTTTTGCCATATTAAATAACTTGATTGCCTATTTTCTCTGAAATGCTCTCTAAAAGAAGCAGCTCTTTTTTTGAGTCATCTATTGTTGTTATTTCACTAATTACTTATTACAATATTTCAGTTGACTCCATTCAGTTAGAAAGGTGAGAATGTTCTTCATCTTTAGGAGTTTTATTATGTTTATGGAAGTATAAAAACCTAGAGATAATGAACACTTTTCATATGTTTGTTGATCAATTGTATTTCTTCTTCGGTGAAGTGTCTGTTCAGTTCCTTAGCCCGTTTATTGATTGGGTTATTTGGGTTTTTTTTGGTATTAAGTTTTTTGAGTTTTTTATATATATATCTATCTCCATCCTGGAGATTAATGCTCTGTCTGAGGTGCCTGTAGTAAAGATTTTCTCCCATTCTGTAGGCTCTCTCTTCACATTATTGTTTCCTTTTTTGTCTAGCAATATATAGTTACATTTGTAATAATAATAACAGCCACCACTGATTTCTCATGTGTCAGGCACTGTCCTACATACTTCTTGACAGTAACTGCTTTAATCTTCCCAACAACCTGGGGAGGTAGGAGTTGTTCTCATTTCCATTTCAGAGGTGAGGAACTGAGGAAGAGTAGGTTACCCACCAAGGTCAGATGGCTAATAGGTAATAGAGGTCATCTGATTCTAGAGCTTATAATACTTAGGCCCCTATGTTTTCTCAGACCCATAATGTTTTTACTTTGGAACTTGGATAGGATCAAGCAATTCCAGCATAGAAGGGGTGAGTCCTGTAATGAATTAAAATGTATACCCCCTCTCCTCAGAAATGGTGAGCTCTTCATTATTTGGGTTGAGCTAGAACAATGCATAATATTTTCTATAATTATTGAACTCAGCCTAAACCCAAAATATCAATAGATGATGAAAATAAAAATGTTTCT